AGCTGCTAAGATGGACTGGCTCTTTTAGGCAACTGTCTTCAAATCACCTATCGTCTTCAACACTTTTTACGACTGACTAGAAATGTCACCAGGCTTCTTCTTGTGATTCTCGCTGAAAGCATCCGCAATGCTTTCATTGTCGAGTAGTGGTCTTGGTGCTGTGTTTTCCCTACGTCTATTTAGGCACGGAATAAAACTAAACAAACTTGTAGTTGCTGCGAAAACAAGTGCACTAGGGGAATCGGCAGTCATCTAACGACCTTATCTTGCGATAACTGATAGGAATATACTCTATGTCCACCACTGGATTGGGGTTAGTGGACGACACGTCAGACAACGTCTATATGTCCGAATTCTGTGCTGACCAGAAATGAGTGATTGTCTGAGCATAATTGTAGCAGATGATGGCAGTTACCAGTTCATTCGGCTGTGATTACGAAAGTACCACGGGTTCGAACCGAGCTCCACCTTCTATGGTCTTGACAAGGGGTTAATGTCATTAGCTCTCAATTAGTGTTGCTCATTGCCTTCTCGGAAAATATCGGGATCCATTCAACAACCTTGTGCACGTTCTTGGACTAGGGAATGAGTCACATCTGTTGTGTGAGGGTTAATACCACTTACTACTTGGTTATCCGGTAAATTGTGTAGTTCTCAAACCTATGACGCATCAGTTTGAATTGAGTGCCTAGGCTGGTGAGCCGCAAATCTACATGGCTGTCGAGTATATTTTGAGTTCTTTAGATCTATTTGCTCACTGAAATCGGCTGTTACAAGGGCAACATCTAATGGTTTGACTTTCGATAGTTAGAAGGCGGACAAGTTTCTGTAGAACTCATCCTTTATTTCATTCTAGCTGTAGTCAGTGAGTGCGAAGAAGAGACAACGTTGGGTTTCATGATTTTATTTAGTCTCCAAGTTGCGATTCAGTCGAACAGTGCATATGTTGGTGACTCAGCTGGGATGCAGTCAAACAGTACACTTTCTACTCTAGAATTTAATGCTACATATGCGCCTGCTGGACCGTGAGAACTAACAGTCCAATCTCCAGAGACTTGAGCAACAACCTGGGCGGTAGTCAGTAGGTCCACCTTCATCCTGATATTTGGAGCTACAGCTCATTAGTTAGGACAGTTATCTTTCAACCAGTGAGTCACGCGTCAGAACACTCATTCCGAGATCTGAGGAGCCAGGCAGTTAGTACTCAGCCGTCACATTAGGCACGGCTCATTCCCTACTAGAAAAACGTGCACAGGATCGCTAGGTACGTTTAAATATCGGTCGTAATGGTAACATTGGTGTGACCTTATGGTTCAAAAGATATCTGCCTGAAGTTGTTAGTGTTAGGTCGTCTTGTATGCTGGAGATTTAACTTTGAATAACGTAAATCTAGACAAAATCATACCACTGGTACTGGAGAATCGCTGGATAGGTTTTGTGTTGTATTTTTGGGACCAACTCTTGTAGCTACCCTTCTGACTTCGGAAGGCAGCACAGGCGTAAACAGTTGATCTCTTCCAGAAGGAAAGTCTCACTGCTCTTGCACTGCGTCCAACAAGCAGTACGATTTTTCGCTCGAGTGGCAACATAGCGTAGGTATTGAAACTGGTGGTAACTGTTTTTTGTGTGAACACTACGCAACAGACGTTTCTGGTGTGGTGATGAGTCAAATTTATTTCTCTAGCAGCTTCGCTATTCTGTATTGAAACTCCGAGCTCCGCGTCAGGGTCGCATTTAGAGGTCGGTCACATTTTGACGCGCATATAATTGAGCGGTTCGAAATTATTGCTTTGTCACTATTCTGAGATTCTAGATCCAAAAGGAATAATTACTTAGATTTTTGTAAGCGTTGATTTGAGTTAGAAATTAGTTTTTTCGTAGGCATTCGATTTTGGAATATGTTCGGTTTGTTATTGGAGGCAAGTTGAATTGTGTTTTCGTTTATGAACAGTCGAAGGACATCAACATTGCTGTTGATTTTACATGAGTGTATCAGACAGCGGAAATAGTTCTCTCAGTGAAAAGTGACGTTTTGATTGCCACCACGTAACCCTTTTTTCCAAGTAAGATAACTGTCATATCGCTGGTCTCTCGGTGAATACCACTATAACACAATTTTCCAGTTCGCACTTCAGCTTCCATTTCCGACTCACATTGCAATCCATATATGTTTTTCAGGCAACCTAGTTTCTTAGGTTGTCGTGATGTAAGGGTTTTGACAATAATTTCAGTGTGTAGGCATTTTTTAGTAAGTGTCTGAACCAGTCATAATGATGTCTGTAGGTCATAATGATTGTGTGAATTTTACTGTTTCCATTATAGCGATCGCGTTGGTGACGATGCTTATAGCAACATTTCAGTGCGGATATTCAAGGAAAGGAAATATTGGGAAGAGGAGATGAATAATCAGTTTTAATAGGAAGATGAAAAGGGTTGGATTATACCAATCAGGTTGTGGAAATTTGCGACGTAGTAGTGGTCGTTAGTGTTCCTTTACTGCAATAACAGTACTGGTTGTTCATCTTTCGTCTTGAAAACAAAGGCTAGTATAAGTTGTTAGATCAATTAATGTGAAAAGGACGAGTTCGAGCTCTGGGTAAAAGGTTTTGTTTGATGTGGCAGGTCGCTTTGCGTGGTCCAGGTTTCCCACTGCATAACTACTTGGATATATGTGACAAAAAATAATAATCCGCTCCTTTCAGAAAGACAGAAGTACATCTCTTGACTTCGGTAACGAAGTGAGACAGTCTCGCTTTAATACTTCGGACATTTCTTATGACATCTTCTTACTTCCTCATATGAAAATCACTGGACAGATTTACAATTTTTAACTTAGGTATTGGTGTAGTAATGTATACCTATTGTCATTCGATTTAAAACTCTCTTCTTGCTGAATACAACAGTATTAGACTTAGTACTTACGAGGTTGAGTAGTTTTTTCTCATTGTGTAGCACGCTATCGGCTATAGTACGTCGTAGGAATGTGCTTGAAGTTCTTGTATAACTGCTGTGAGGGTTTTAAGTAGTATGTAGCTTTTGTGCTGATATGGAGGTATGTAGTTTATGATCTGTTGATTGTTTTCAAGATATTGACGATACGGCTTAAGTTGTTTGAGGCTAGGTCATTGTATCAGTTTTGAGTCAAAGAGTGATGCTTAGCAGATTCATATGCTAGTCGGAGGAGAATTTTTGTATTTTTTCTATATTTTCCAGCAGTCTGATGGTTGTTTTTATCACAAAGGAAGGACATTAAATTGAATAGCCAAACACTATTTTTGTAAATCCCCCAGGTTCTATGTGTATATGCATACAATTGATCGGCAGTGAGACAAATTCACGTGATTGTGAAGGACGTTCATAAAGTGTCAATTAATGCTAGCTTACATTTGTTATCTCTAATTGGCGCGTTAAATAGCTACGTATTTTCAGTTTCTTGTTTATTAACTTATACTTCAACAAATGTGTTGCTTCCTAAGACACACTAAGTCACTTTATTGGATATTTTGATGTAAATGATTGCCAACTATTTGATGAATAATCACAGCAATGAAGTGTTTTAGCTAACATACGTTGAACGGTGATGGTCGAAAAAAGATGAGATAGAAGAACAATGTTTTTCATTGTTTTGTCAACAAACCAGAATGGAGTGTAATATTGTTCCATGTCTTGTTTCGATTTGATACCACTTTACTGTATTACCACCTTCAGTCAAAACTTGCATCTACCACTACACTTACCACCATCGCTAAATTCTTTCGTATAAATTATTGTATTAGTCAGCGGTATTACTGACTGACTTGTGCTATTTGCTTTATTTGTTGTTTAGTCCCTACATTTTTTGTCAGGAAAAGCTGTTTCATTTAATTTACTGGGTCTTTCGAAACTTCATTCTTGAATTGTGAATACAGTTACTGCGATATTTTTAGAACTTTGTTCTGATGGAATAAAAATATGCTCATATCTTCTTCACCTACGCTCGTTGGTCATTCTTTCTTTCTTTTCCTGCTAGCTTGAGCTGTTTTCTACGCATGTTTGTAATGCATTACATATCAGTGAATAATAGAGTGTATGCTGTTTTTGATACAAATGATCACTCTTGCAACTAAACTAGGCTTTAAAATGCTATAGGAAATTGGTTTCCTAGTTGTTCTCCAAAGAGAGTTATTTGGATGTAGCTGAACTTAAACAATTTCGATACGAATGACATGGTGTTGTGAGTTCATGTTTTAGTTACAATGTTTATAGCACTTGCTATACATTCACAGCTCTATGCTGGTAAAATTATTTGGTGAATAGTTGTTAACATAAGATTAGAAAACTCATAAACATGAATTCGTCTATCTTTTGTTAAGAGGTAACTAATTTCATGTAAATCGGATCTATTATCAGACCAAACATTGATTCTTACTCCAACCCAATTATTATGACATCATCAACTTGTTATTACAAGCATTGAAGATTTGTCTCTTCCATTTTAAAGCATGTTAAGTTACTATACAACTAGTGGTTTTGGAAATGGCAATTAACCGAAAAGTATTTCTATAGCTACACTTTCCTACTGGATGATGATTGAAGGTGTATTTGGGCTGCGGTAGGACTCAACCCAGCGACCACCGGGTTTTTAGCCCGATGTTCTACCAGCTGAGCTGCAAAGCCCGACTGCTGACCAGATTTTTATTTCACTCCAATCACGGGTTTTACCCGACTACAATGTGAATTCGTGACGCGTTACTACCGCTTGATCGTACTCGGACTTTCTACAACTATCCCAGTGAAATCCTCACAGTTCATTAAGAAGTGACATCTAGTTGTTATAAATTGTCATAAGTTGCGCAAACATCCATTTAGATAAGACTACGTGATCAATTTCATTTAAGAGCTCCACTTATCTGTCTTACACTTACATGATAGTAAATGCCTATAACCAAAAAATCCCCAGCATTGCTACATGTTTGCGTATTATTTTCGTCTGTAATTGAAACACAACCAACAATCATTATGTAAAACAAGACATGATTCGAGACCAACAAATATTTTGAGTACAGGAAATTGAGTCACAAAAAATTGTCACAGAACGTATTGTTCACAATTTTACCAAATAATCAACCGATTGTATATTATTATTATAAGAAAATGGAGTAAACGAAATTTTCGTCACTACATTTTATAAGACTTGACACTTTTACCTCATGCCGAAGCAGAAACTAGGAAGTCTCGAGGTACACTACCAGTCGGTCGACGACGAGAGACAAGTGTTCTAGCTGCCATTGGACCGAATGTTTCAAGGTTTAGTTTACGTTCTCGCCTTGCAGCTGAAGGTGAATTGACTCCAACAGCATTACTACTTGCATTGGGTAGAAGTCCTTGCGTAAAAGAACCAGTGGATACTTGGTGTTTCCTGAGTATCCACATTTCCCCCGTCCACCCTGAAAACCTGTAGGACCTTTTGCGCCACCTCCTGATCTACTTATCTGGTCGAAAAAGCACTTTTCTCGAACGTAGTATTCACCTCTGAAATGCATAAAAGTATTTTGTTTCCTGTGAAGATTTGTGAAAACATCACTAGGTACCTTACCAGGTAATATTGTACAGAAACCTAGGTTGCATATACACCTTATGTTCTGATACTTAATTTAGTGCTCATGATTATCCAAGTTAAAGCGAACTGTTTATATTATAGGCCTTTCATTCTCCAGTGTGTGTAATTTATCATTTTTTGTAAAGTGTAAGACCGATTCCACTTTAGTGGTTTCATTTACATGCAAATTCTCTTATGATTTATTTTCGGAAACCGCACATCCAATGGAAACTCTCAGAGCGAAACTAAGTTTCTAAATCTTAAGGTCAACTCAGTGTTGGATTTACGAATTAATGTTCAGTGAAGCTCATACTCCAATTTCCTGAAGATTAAAGATTCATGTGAAGTTGTATACTAAGAATACTAGTTCACTTTTAGTCTGTTCATATTATTATAGTAGTAAGCATTTAAGTAAGAGCTATTTACTTCATATATCCATGTTGAAATTAGTTTTAATTTAAAAAAATAAGTGTTTCATTTACGGGAGTTCATTCATCCGGTTTTATTTCCTCCATAATTTAATCTTCGAGATTAAGGAAAACTTCATAGTAAGTCTTATACTACTTATTCAACGTAGATTGGAAAGACTTGTAATGGTGTTTCGCTCCTACCTTTCATATCATTCAGTTGATTTGTTTCCAACTTCATTCTTTTCAACTCGGATACCATTCAAGCCTATTATTCGGATTCTGTCAGGAGTAAATTGAAGCAATAGTATTCTGTGACTAATGCAGAATGTAGCTAGACATCTAGTTTGTAATCAAAATTTTCTTGTTCAGCCTCTTTCAACCTATGACGGATACAAACTGTCGATAGATTGCAGAAAAAGACATATCTGGTTCTGAAAGTTTATGAAAAATCCTATGGCGTTTCATTTAAAAGTCACTTGAGTAGTTCACCCACCGAGAAATACTTTGAAGCAATAAAAATATCCACTAGTCACTTTTTCAATGTCTATTTTTTCTAACTTTTGAAGGAACTATAATTACGCTGTAGGAATCATTTTTCATGAGAATAGTCATCATTAGATTTCAATGATATAACTAGTCTAAACCACTGACGCAAATATTGTGTTCTTTTTCCTGATAATACAAGCGTAAAAAGTTAAACTCACTTGGCTAAAGTCCCGGTACTCTCAAGTGGATTTTGACTTTCAGTCGTATGTGCATCCACGTTGTTTCGTACAGTAGAAATAACTACTGCAGATGAAGAGTCTCCAGATGCACCATTTTCGTTTGTTGCTGCTGTTAGAATCGTCCTTGATGTTGCTGATGACACTGATCGCTTGCTGCCAATTTCATCGCCAGTCGATGCGGCTTGGTCTACTCCAAAAGACTCTTCTTTCACTGAATCGTGTCTTGTAGTAGCTACCGATACTGCATCTACATTTAAGTTTATTTTGGCCAACTCAGCTTCCAATTCAGCGTTTGCTGTTTCAAAATCGTAGGGTTTAGTACAGTCGATTTCTATTTTGAGATAAAAAAGAAGGAGAAACAACAATCATGCATTTGGACCAAAGATTAAAATAATCTCAACTTCCTTAGCAGTGCCTTTAAAAACTAAGAACAGGAGGGCACCTATCATCAAAAACATGTAAATTAATATCTCTTAATTTCCGCAACCACCTCACAATAGAAAAGGGTGGATTGCTGACCAGCACACTTGTCCTTTGGTAGGCAATTGGATATTTTGACTGAGCCATAAATAGCATAAGTCGACTAACGTCAAGCGGGCGATTTGTATCCGAGCTGGGAATTTATCGATAACCAACCCATTCGGGCTGACGCAACTGTCTAAGTAAATTGTGTGTTCAATGCATTTGACTAATTAACCCGCTATCCTGAAACTATGGATCTTTTCAGGTGTGTCTGTTCAGCTTTTTCATGGTTTATTGAATAAGAGAGAAATGCTAAGGATTTCAGTTATTGTGGTAATGAACAAAGTTAGAAGAGTTCAGTCATCGATTGCTTAAATTGAGCTAACAATGGAGTCTCTTATTGGTTCGGTTTGCCATCTCAGTTGTCGACAGCTATGTATGTCAAATTGTAATTTGCAAAGCATATACCAGTTCCAGCATATATCATCCAGTCCGAACTGCTGTAGCCTGTCAAGAACATTAGTTAAGAGACCATACTAGTAGTTCAAGTGGTTCTGTGATATCCTGGGATTTTACTAAAACACTACATTATTGGCTTCAAACTAAAGGATGCAAATTTCATGAAAAAGATCTTGATGTAACTACTGACATGTTTTTGAAGATCGATGCAATTTCATGGTATGATGCCACTGCTTTCAAAATTTATTTAACTTACCCGGTTGAACACTGACATTATCTCTTGTAATCCCTCTTCTTTCTGGTATTCGGCGTCTGTTAATCCCCATGCAAGATGGTACCAAGTTGGTCGATCTTGGTTGATATGTTGTTGCCACTTCCGAAGGAAAATGAGCATACACTCCACCACGAGGATTCATAGCAGTCGGCACAAACCTTCGAACATTCTTATTAGTGTTTCGTCCTATAGATTGACCTCGTTTTCTTCCACCACCTCGTGGAGCGAAAGGACCAACCCTAGATCTAATCGGAGTAGTCAAAAGTTTAAATGGTGCATTTCTAATGGTCGCAGAAAGACCAGGCTTATGTAGATTCCCTGGAGTAGCAGCAATTGGAACAACAGGTACGTAATTCGTTTGTCTTAACAACAATCCAACACCACGACCTCTACGAGGGTAAGATACAAGCATACGTGGTTGAGACGCAATATATTGAGTAGAAGAACTATTGAAGCGGTTGATTGTTGCTGACGCATTCCCAATAGCACGGCCATTTCCTAATGCATTTACTTTCATGAAATGTTGCTGATCTCCAAAAGCGTACCACTGAAAAACATGAACAATTAGGGGTGCAAAAGCAGTAGCTTTTTATTCGGTAAACAATTTTTGTTTATTTATCAAATATTATGATTGAAGGTAGTAACCTTTTAATAGTTCATTAACAGAATTGAACTGCTGTAAACTTTCAAGATCACAATTGGTTTCTATATGACACACTATTTCTGGACATTCTATTTAGTGAGTAGTCTGTGTGAATCCTTAAGTCAAGTGGTAAATTAGTTTTAATATGCAACGACTCGAAATAAATTAAAGTATGTATTCGAAATTTTTCCATCTACTTATCATCTACTGTCAAGCATCTTCACTATGATTTCCATACATACGTTATTGATCTCTGCTTGATAGGCCTGTATCGAAAAACGTGTTAAACTGTTTCAGCAGCCAGATAGAAAGGTGCATTTTTATCGCACCCTCTTAAACACTTGGCCGGAAATAGCTGTTATCAATTGATAACACTTCTTTTTCGGGTTATAAAACTACTGAGTGCAGGGATGACATTTCCCGTTATTTAGTTCAAATAGTAGTAGCTATATCTAATGAGTATGATTAGTTAGTATGTTCAAACCGGAAATCAAACTGATTCTCAATTAATCCTTTGTGTACACATCCGAGCTTTTAATTACTGAGGAGGATCAGCTTTTCCTCATCTACTCATATCTTTCCAGTTCTATGTGACTTTTACCTTATGCTGTAATAGTCAGTCTGTCGTGTTCTTGTTTTCAGTAAAACAGGTACACCAGTAAAATTGTGGTCAAACCAGAATAAAATGTAATGCCAGTCAATGAAATTCCTGACAGTTGGTCTGAACTGTGTAGAGAGGTCTAGATTATCCGGGTTAGGGTCTTCGAGATAAGTAGAATCAGTGGTTGAGAACTCTTGGTGAAATGGCTGGGAATCGGTCACAGCAGCGCAGATGAATTGGTTCTTTAACGTCTTCTAAAGCTTGAATATTCTCACTAACCTTTACCTTCAGTTTTTTCTTTTCCGTGCACTTTTGTCTGCTTTAATATCTAGTCTTTCCTATCAGCTTGTTTTTTGTATGATACGGTGAAGTGTTGCAAATTGAACTGATACACTTGTGTGCGAGGTTTTACGCTGATTTCGTCTGTCTATTGTCTTTAGTGAGTGGCTACACACTTATGACATTTCACATTAGTATATCTATTATAAACATCTAGGCCATAGTTGTTACGTATATCTTGAAAGAAGTTAAGCGCCGATTGAGGTTTAATCATTATATAAGTTTTAATGTAATCCCAGCGTGTTTAGAAAATTAAAATGAGTAAATTCTTGTTTTGATTTTCTAAACACAGTAGTATTACTTAAAATTCAATCATATATTATTCTTTTCAGAGAAAGATTTTCACCCTACGTGCGTCTTCCAGTGCAGTAGTAATTAAAACGTTAATTTCTCTAAGGCTTTAAGCGTGTGGTTTGTGATATAGATGCAAGTGAAGTTTTCCCATTCATTGATGAACATTTATTATCTTCATTCGAATAGTAACTAGTTTTTTTAGTCCTATTTTTATCCGATCAACCTAGCTGTATCATTAAAGAAAATCAATATTTTCATTTCTACTGATAAAATTTTGATCAGTATCACTCTATATTATTGATAGGTTACTGGATATATTTTAGGAGTACTAAGAGCTGTTTGTGTTATCGTCCGTATTGAAATTTTACTGTATGAAAAACCCTAGTCTGTTGTTAGCATTTTTACACAGGATTTAAAAGTCAGCATCCACTTATCTCCTTGTTTTACTCACATACCAATCTAGGTCATCTATTCCTTTTATTATCCTATGTTTACATAGAAATGGTGATGGTTGGGCAAAGTTATACGTAGAAACAGCAACAACATACATTTAACATTTTCAGCATACCATAGCCGTTCTTTGCACTAAGAGAATCAATATAATAAGACAAAAATTATGGTACGAGCAGAATTTTTTTCAGTGAATTAGGCCATCACTGGCAGATGTATGCTGGGTAGAAAACTTATTCACAATTTCTGTATAAGCTATTATAATTCTTTCGATAAGAAACACTATTAGACATTGTTACCTTTGTTTACCTGCATTCAGTGTATAAATAAACCGATTCCATAGACATGTCTAAGTATCGTCCTCTGTTTACTTAATTATTGATTAATCTTACCATTCCCCGATAAATTTCTTTGTTACAATTGTAATAAGCCATACCTCATTTGATGTATCTGTTTCGGAGTGTATGAAAAAACATCGATTATCACTACTGTACAATTGAAGACATCGACTGATATCTTCACGATCCTTAAATTTTCTAGATATACACTGAAAAGATATGCAAACAAACACATATGTGTAAGTATATGCGTTTAAATGATCAATTTAGGCTGATTCCTTGCAAATGGTTCTAAAACCGATAAGTACATAAACTGAGTAAGTGCTTTAGTAATAACACCTCTCAGAGTTAGAGACCTAACAAATATCACATCTCTAGTGAGTCGTAATCATTGGAGGTCAAAACAACTGTTAGCCATTGCATACTAACATTTCGTCTTATATCGTCAGATCCACTACAGCTGAAATGGCTGACAAGTGATTCATGTAGGGAAGAAAAGGTGATCAAAATGCAAGATACAGTTTTTTACATGCATATATATGTGTTTTGTCCATCGAGGAGCGAACTGCATAGCAGTCCATCCGATCCCATTCCATAATGTTGACGGGACAGTTGAAGGAATAAGAAATAAAATCATAGACATTTAATTGTAGATGTCTACCACTTCTTACTCCTGGGGAGTAGAATGTTAGCTTAGAAATCTATGACGGAATTAATATCAATTTTAATAAGATATAATATGAATGTTATACAATCACAAGTTCTGACGTACCCATTTTCTTTGACTTCGTCCTCTATCTCGACGGTTATCCACTGAAACAGTTGCTCTCAAAACGGTTTTATCACCTAACTCATTTTGTCCCGTTTTCATATCATCCAACGACAATATTCGACTGATACTTGATATCCAAAATGTAATCGAGTCAAAAAAATTTCCAATAGCCGGTGGTTTATTTTCACCATTTTGATTTGTACCACTGGGTAGTATGCGATTTTCATTACCACAAAATCTTACATTTTGTAAAGTCAGTGTACCTTCAATTGCATCAATCGCTGCTACTTCTCCTTCATACCGATACTGTGCATTGGTAATCAATGATATTTTTGTACCCAATAATAGACGATTCGCTTGAATCTCCGTCCTGGGCATGTTAACTGTAATAGTGTTGAAATGATAAATGTGCGGTGAATATTGTTACTGGATTAGTATTTATCACCTTTGTCAAATAATATGAGTTCTACTCAGTAATGCTCACAATACCAACTTTTTCGATTATTTATGATAATATTCATGAAGCGTTTGGATTACACACGAACTTGTCTGCATATATCAAGTCAACTGCGAGCAGAATTTGAATAGATGTCAATCAATCAAGTTTGATCGATTTAAAAACCAATAATACCCATATTAGCTGAATATATAGTGAAATGTAATAATTCAAAGTATTCACTTTACCCATTCAGTATTGTATGAATTAGACTGGTTGTATTTCATAAGGTTTGAGGTAAAATTGAATGACGTTATATATTACACCATATATTCAGTGTACGGATGACAGTGTTAATTTATCATCACAGAATATCGATCAAAATTGGTGATTACGCAAAATATGGAGAATCTATCAGAATATCAGCTGAAAAATTATGGGTGATCTTAAGGTATTTAGCAATATTTTTCTATGTGTTAAGATAATCAAAATCAAATGACTACACTATATCCTATTGATTAGTCACATTAATTGACTGGATTAAGATAATTTGAACACTGGATCGCTATTTCTGCTTGTTTGGGATCGAGCTAATCAACTAATAACTTGGATGGATTCGACTCAATAAGTCGGATCATATCAAGTTTTAAGGGGAGCTAGAAAAACAACAATAGCAGAATTAACATGCACGTAGTTCGTGGATTCTCCTTAGCTGCTTTACAACCTATAGAATCTAATGTTTATGGTGATTAAACAAGGTATGAAGCATACTTTCATTAGTCAGCAAGGATGTTAAGATTGAGGCGGAGGTAACCGGAGATGAAGGCTAACTAAGATTGATGAAGTTAGTAGGACTACTAAAAGGTTTACTACTTATACAATGATAGAATTAACATTCTAGCGAAAATAGCAGAATTGGGGGTGGGGGGGGGTATTGTACACAATTTTAGAATTGGTAAAAGATGACATGATTACGTGGGGGTAATAAATAGGACAACACCTTGGAGCTTTGTGGAGATATGTTGATTTCAAGTTGGTATTCATAATAGACTGACATCATTTACAGAACCATTGAAAACCAGGTAACACTGGATAGCTGTTTCGTCCTATCATGGGACCCCTTAGCAGTGCATTCCCGTGACCCTGCTGAGGTTGAACGCAGTACCTTCACGTTTCACAGCGAGCATGTCACCATTCAGTCACGGGGTGGGAATTCAATGGTCCACATTTTCCTGTTTCTGTTATTTGGTAATATACCGCAAATTCCATCCGTTGCTGTGGTTGAGTAACCTTCCTCACATTTGACTTGGTTTGCTTCACCGGTCATGATTTCTCATTAGAAGTTCGGGAAATCCTATCCAGAAACAAGCCACTAATGAGCAACAGGTAGTGATTCAATTTGCTTAATTATAAACTGAATTATGAAATAGTATACGGGTGCTATGAACTTTATTACAGTGCGATTATAAAAGATGTTAGCTGACTGAAGGCAAGAGATCTTATAAATTGTCCCAGTTTTCACATCGATCGAATAAAACTTAGTGAGTAAGATCTGTATTACTGCTTTTAAGAAAATGTTTGTTGATGATAAAAATAGTGCACACAGGAAAATTCTAGAAGTAAAGAAAAAAAGAAGAGAAAAATCACTAGCTTTAGAAGATTGAAGTTGACTGTACTAAACAGTTTACTCACCATGTACTAGCTTGCATTATCTCAGTAAAAAGCTGCTGAAATTATACCAGTGAATTTAAAGACCACCTTACAGCTGCTAAGATAATCAGCTACTTTCCTTTATTATAGAAGTAACTACCTTCACGGATGAATTACCGAAATCTGATTGTTTATTTCAGCAGTTGCTAAAGTGGACTTTAAAGTCATTCACTGTATGAATGATGACCTTCAAGGGTCTCTTTAGCTACTACTGGAATAACCAGTCAAGTTTCGGTAATTCATTCGTGAAGGGAGTTACTTCTATAATAAAGAAATATGATTGATTATCTCACCAGTTGCTAGGGTGGCCTTTAAAGCCACTCAAATCCCCTCAGTCGTACAGCTTTGTTTACAAATTCTTAAATATTGAAGGTGGATTTTACGATATGCTTAAGTATGCTAGTATGTACCACTGGTTTAATCAATGTGAGAGGAACCAAACTTCTGTGTTGAGACTTCTGTTCAGATGATTCCTATCTGTCAGAGTTATCTAGGATTGTTCTTTTACGTCCCATACATTCTAATCTACCGTAATATCACTCTTTTTCCATCCACTATTTCTTTGCATGCTGTAGTGAATTGTATATACTGAATTGAACTACGATGAAATACTTCAACGTCAGCTTCTATATTTGATCTGTCTTCTATTGAAAACTATGAGCAGGATGAAACCACTAGCACTTTATATATATGTATTTTTTCTGAACATACCAGTTGTTTAAATGCAGCAACTGGAAGGGAATCAATTAGATAACCTGATGTAGTTTCAGTTATCAGACTGTTCTCGGTGCTTGAGTACGCTGAACAAGTCGGAGAAGACCAATTAAGTTGTTATAGAATTGAAATCAGTGGGGCTCAGATTTCCAGCTTCAAGCCCTACTCATTGAACCGTGAATCTGAAACACCTATGCAGAATTTTCCAGGTGATAATGAACTTCTTACTTGTTCACACTTGGTTACTGAGTGACGCAGGATTGAACCACCGAGGAGATATAAGCTAACTCCCAGTTTTGCAAATATATCTTGCTAATGAGTGTCACCAAGTATGAAACCTTGCTCAGGTAGGATTTTCTGACCATTACCATCTAGACTCTGACAACTAACTATAGCTCCGTGTTTTTAGCCTATAGACCATGGTGATAGACTTAAGTCAATCCTGAGCGCTTAGGATTTGATGGTTATGTCAGTCACCCTCTAGTATACAACTTCTTGTGGTCTAACATGATGGGAATCCCCAAAAGTGCGAACGGGATCACACAATACAAAATTACAGGGTATTATTCTTCACAATCAGGCATAAGTTGGCGAACCGATAGTTAACCACCAGATAGATTCTTCTTAGTGTTCGACCTCTTGGCAATGCTAACTGCAGGACCCTGTAAGAGACATCGGAGGGCCGTATGGTCTCACAGCGGGCATCTTGCCATCCAGTCAATGATTTGGAATCCTTTGGGGCGCACTTTCCTGCTTTTTTTGGTTGACAGTAGCCGGAAGTCGCAGGGTCAAGGGGTGCATTCAACAACTCAGCTGATGTCAATGTGTGATAATATAATAGGCTAGTGTGTATATATGACCCAATAATTCAAGTGTTACTTGTCTTTACTTTGCATATAGTAGGTAGTTTTCAGGCTTTCTTCATACGGTACAACTTAAAGTTCAAGTTATTTAGTACATCACAACAACAGTTGTTGTGTATAAATTTACAAAAATATTCTGTTGAGTAGATTAAACACTGGAGGATAACCAATTTCACGCCGTCTACTAAGTACTGGCCGAGTGCTATCGATCAATTTGTAACGTGGTCACCAAACTAGGAAACTCAGAGCGATGGTGCACTTTGATTCATGTATGCTGGTGGTTCAAAGTATTTGGTAGAAGGCCCTATATGACCTGGGTTTCATGCTTGTTGGCATTCGTCAGCAAGGCCATTCTGCAGCCTTGAGGGGACTGATATCGTCTTAGAGATTCAAGCATTCACCATCCAGTGACGCAGTCACTGACATTGCCACTGAGCTATTCATCTGAACGAAAATTAGTCTCAATTCAGTCATTTGCTTTTCCTCTACATTTTCTAAAACACTCATATTCAACACACACTTCTGGTTGTAATTAGTGGGAGTAGTTAAACATCAGTGAATTTGATCACCTAATCAGATCAAGTTTGTTAAAACTTTGGAAATTCATTTTTTCTTCGTCTGCGTCAAAACTTGTCATCGATGTACTAGGATGGGTAAACTCATCTCGAAAAAATGACCGATTTGAGGGACTTCCAACTATTCCTGTGATTCACAAGTGCTCTTTTTGTCTCATAATTTTTATTTTCTCACTTGTGACGCCGTTAGAAAAAAGTGTCTCGCAAATCCTTCGAAACTAAAAACGAAGCTTCACAAATGCATTAGTTAAACAAGTGCTCAGTTTGTGTTGCTACCAGGTAATCATGATACTTACTAACTATAGCCATGGAAGAATAATTACCACATTCTAATTTGTGAGTCCTTGTTGGTGTCGAGTGTAAATGACCCTTCTAAAGTGCATTACAATTTCCTCAGAACTCCCTTAAAGCAAATCACCCTGTAATCACAGAGTCACCCTGAAATTATTTGATTTTATTGAATCCAATCATGACTGAATGGATCCTGAACATGTTAGCTCTTTTTTGAAACTCACTCAGACTCAATATCGACGTGGCACCTGCGGTTACTCCCTAAAGATCCAAGTTGTCACACGTCGTGTCACCGCACCAGGATACAAAACATGAAGATGAAAACAGAAATAGAAACGAAAATGTCATCAAATGTCTCTGAAGGTTATTGTTACATCTCTTATTTGATGGTATGGCAGTCGTTACTGATCATAACTTCACTGTAGGTTCGATGTTTCGTCTTATGCTTAACCGACTGAAGAAAATGCCGAACGCTAATCAATTATTACTATTATTATGCTGAGTTGTTACGTCCAAGTTCATCCTACCACCGCTAAAGTCGAGTGGTCATAAAAAGTCACCAATAAGATAACCAATTAGCTTTTTTCCTTTTATGAGAAAACTACCTTCCCAGCCAAAACAAACAAAACTAACTGGTTGTTTTGATGCTTCCTAGTTAGGCTTTCAGAGTCACTGCAGACGTCACACGAGAAGACCCATAGAGAAAACAACGGTGAGATATGATTGTTTTATACCAGATAGAGAAAACTTAGAAAACCGCTGGGTAGGGAGGAGTGTGCTTTTTTTGTGCCAACATTTTCTAATCCCCCCTTCCCATTGGAAA